GGGATATTGACTCTGAGTTCTCTTCCCAATTCCAGGCAGCTTCTTCATCAAATACAATGTCTCTTGACAAGAATAGTTTCTTGGATAGTGGATCAAATACCCTATACCCCTTTTCACAAGTTGCATAACCCACAAATACTCCCTTGAAGCTTTTAGGCTCAAGCTTATGTCTGCGTTCAACTGGAATATGAACATAGCATAGTGAGCCAAATACTTTCAGATGTGCTATTCCTGGTTTTCTTCCAGAATAGGCTTCAAAAGGTGTGGTGCTGTTCAAGGCCTTTGTGGGACACCTGTTTAGAATGTATACTGACGTATGCACTGCCTCTGCCCAGAGAAAATATGGCATTTTCTTCTCATGCAACATGGATTTAGCCATCTCAATCACCGTTCTGTTCTTCCTCTCCACTACTCCATTTTGTTGTGGAGTATATGCAAGAGTGAATTGCCTTTGTATTCCTTCCTTTTCACAGAATAGATCGAATTCAGACGACTTGAACTCCCCTCCTCTATCACTTCGCAGACACTTAATCTTGAATCCACTTTGTAACTCTGTCATAGCTTTGAATTTCCTAAAACAATTGAATGCATCAGACTTATATCTCAGAAAATAAACCCAAGTCATTCTGGAGAAATCATCTATCAACAGCATGAAATACTTATTTCCAGCAATTGAATCATTTATCATAGGTCCACATAGATCAACGTGAACCAGTTCAAGTGGAGCAGTTGCTCTTTGCGCTTGATTTCTTGGAAATTCTTCTCTATGTTGTTTTCCAAATTGGCAGCCTTCGCAGACTCAACTATATTCTTCAAGCTGAGGCAACCCATGCACCATTTCCTTGTCCCTCAATTGTTTGAGACCACCAAAATGCAAGTGTCCAAGTCTCTTGTGCCAAGTCTCAGTAGAGTGAGTGACACTAGCTTTTAAAACCACTTGGTTCTCAGATAATAAAACCAATGGATAGCATCTATTCACTTTCTTCTTCACTTTCATAACCAAGCTTTCCAGTGATGGACCATCATACACACTGCACATTCCACCACCAAACACCAAGAAATATCCATGCTCATCCATTTGACCTACACTTAGCAAATTTTCTTTTAAACCAGGCAGATACATTACTTCTCTAACATACTTTCTGCCCTTATTTGTATCAATCACCAATGAGCCCATTCCAGCTACATTCACAAGATCTCCAGTCGGCATTTGAACTTTGCCAGCTATGTTGGTTCTTACATCAACAAGCAATTCTATATTCCCTGTCATGTGATTGCTACAACCGCTATCGATGTACCATTCTCCATTCACCCTTGGTCCTGTGACTGTGCTATTTGCATAAAATAAATTCCCTGTCATCTCCAATTGACTAGCATTGTTTGCCTTTTGCACTGTTTTAGCTACAGTACATTCTCTAGCCAAGTGACCAAATCTGTCACAATTGTAGCACTTTGGCTTGCCTTTGTATCTGCATTCTCCAAAATGGTACTTTAAGCACACTTTACACTGAGGCTTTACAGCTTCTTGATTTGCTGGCTGTGATGAATTGAAGCTGTGATATGGTGCAGTGTTATTCTGATGTGTCTTTCCTTTTGACTCCCATGGTTTCCCCTTAGGATTCCAATTCTTCTGAGACTTCTGGCCACTGGACTGAGAATTTCCCCTGTTTTGTTGTCTTTTTGAGCTCACAGAGAAGGAGGCAAATGCCTTATCAGTAGCATCAACAATGTGCATATCAAAACGTTGTTCCTGGCTTTTAAGGATAGCAAGGATCTCCTGTAATTCAACAGTCTCTATATTCTTCGTATTCTCAATTACAAGACAGATAGGATCATATGGTTTACTAAGGCTAATCAGAACTTTCTGCACAAGTCTTGCATTAGGCAGAATTTCACCAAACGTTTTCATCTGATTTATCAATTCATTTAGCCTAGTAAGATACCCAGACAAGGTTTCATCATCACGCATTCTAGCATATTCGAATTCGCGTCTCAGATTTTGCAATTTCACAGATCGTACCTGATCACCACCGTGATATTCTCCGTACAACAAATCCCATGCCATCTTCGCTGACTCAGCATTGGCGATTCGAGGGAAGATTTGATCCGAGACTGCATTCTGAATGATTCCCAGAGCCTTTGCGTCTTGCATCAACACAACAGCCATTTTTCCATCAACATCATCCTCCGATGATTCTTCAGCCTTCTTCTTATCTGAATCAGAAGTTTTAACTCCCTTCTCTACCAAATTCCACAACCCATGTGATTTGAAAATCGTCATCATCTTGATTCTCCAGAACTCGTAGTTCTCGCCGGAGAAAATTGGAGTTCTCACTTCGGAGCCTCCAGATCCAGACATCTTTGGTCTGAATGGGTCGATTCCTCTTCTCAGATGATAATGGGTCTATGGCAGCTTCCACTGAGCTTCAACTCAGCTCAATGGGTTCACAGATTTACGCCCAAGCTCAGATGATCAAACCTGGCTCTGAGGCCATGTTAGAGTTTATGGTTTTCTTGCTGGGTTTTTGCGAATGGTTTTGTAAGAGAAGAATAGAAGAATCGGATAGATTGAGAAAAATGCTCTGCTTACACACAAAGTCTGTGTGCAAGACGTTTTGTATATATTTTGTCTGTATGTAAGAATGGATCTCAGCCATCCATCTGACCAAAAACTAAAGTCACCACATATGACTATTTTGACCTCACACTTGGCAGATATGCTCAAGTGAATACACACATAAAGTTCATCTTATTACACTAATACCAATAAGCTACAGACTTATAATTCAACACACCTCCCGGTGCAACGGCCTCACCGACACGGCCTGCCGAATTGCACACTCTGAGTTGGACTTTGACTTGGAGTTCATGCTGGACTCGGAATTCAGCATAAGGCTCCTCCAGACAATTCCTGATTCTACAGTTGGGGTGTCGTTGATTGCTGGCCAAAGTGCCTGTAACCGACCGGGTGATCCAAGCTGCCATGGCAAGCCAAACAAGACAACCAAGACAGAGCACTGCATTCCCCCAAACACCAACAGGGGTTGCTACGGACATTAATCCCCCAAATGATCGGCCGCTACTACTACTACTGGTGTCTTTTGTTTCTTTCTGCTTCTTAATATTTAGTGCCCTACTCATCAGCGTCAGTTTAATTACGTTTGTGTGCTTTTGATTCTCCCTCTTCTTTTTTTTCTTTTTTTTGTGTTATTAAGGAAGTGGATTCGAACTTGTGATGTTTTGTATCATTTAGAAGAACTAGTTGGTTGGTTCTTCAGATATTTGTGTGCTGTAATCGTGTTAACCAACTTCAAGTCTATATGAATTACTTTTTTGTGTATCTGGTACAACCGTACAAACCGGTTGGGCTAGAAACTACATGAGAATTATTAGAAGAGAGCATTTCTGTCACCAACTTAAATTTTTTTAAATTTTTTTTCAAGGGAGGATCACCGCCTTAATTAATAGTGAGCATTTTGTTACATGAATTTAAAAAATTAAACTCATCTAACGACAATTACTGTTATGATAATATCTGTACATTCTCTATAAACGCCTTTTGTTTAAGTGATATTTGATATTGACTAGTCTTTTTTTCATATATGATTTCTCGATTCATTAGTTAAGTTGTTTAAACAAGAGCAACTCCAGAATAAATGCGTATTCCCCAATCATTTGATCTTATAACCGATAATTTGTTCCTTGTCTATGCTTTAGGATTCTACGTTACTTTAGCATATTTCTCTTTTTCCTCTTTTTCACTTTGTCAGACAACAGCAACAAAAGAAAAGGCAAAAGCTATTATATTGAGAGTGATTCTTGTACAACAATGTAGAAATACACCACGTACTATAAAAAAAAGAGAAAAAAAATGTCGACCTACCATACTATTTACACCACGTACTTCAAATATTTGTGTGCTGTAATTGTGTTAACCAATTTCAAGTCTATATGAATTACTACTTTTTCTTTTTAATGTCGGAACTAAATCCTAAACAAGCAAGCAGAACAACTAAAGATTAATAAGTTTACAACCTGGGGAAAAGGAAAGTAGAGAAAGTTAAAGGAGGAATTCCTACTATGCGGTCAGTGACGCTGCCTTGACATGGTGGTCTCGACTTCGGATATATAGAATTTGGGGAGTGCAAAACAGAAAATGTGAGTACACGAAAACAAAGCGTTAAACATAATTTATATTCAACATAAATAACCCCCTCCATTTTAAAAAATAATGCCCAAAACACCATGCAATAGATTTGTTCGGTAAACTTACGGAAATATCATCCAATATTACAAAATATTTTAATTCAGTAAAATTTTATATCATGACATACGATAAGGAAAACTATTTAATTAATACTTCTCAAATTCTTGGAAAAAGATGAAAACTTGTTAATTTAATCCTTATTGTACAACCATAACCAAAGTAAACCCATTAATATAAAATATAATCATTAAAACCCAAAATCTTTTTTCCCGCAACCATACACCCGTTAATATAAAACATAATCATTAAAACCCAAAATCCTTTTTCCCGCAACCATACCCTTGCAAAAATACAATATGCCAAAAAATTTCCAAATATCCAACCTCAATTTCGAACTTCATTTCAAATGTTCATACCTGTGTACATGCTCAAGAAACCTCAACCTGGAAATAAATCCACACACACACACACACACACACACACACACACATTCACCACACCATCATTATGTACCAGGGAAAAACAATCGAACACGAGGACTGTTTGTAACTAGACCACATGACAGAATCTTCCATACTCATATGACTAGGGCCGAGCAGTCCAACCAGGGGACTATTGCTCCTCAGATATACAGGGAAAAATTCTTAATATACGTGCGACTGAGTCTTACACACGTAGACAGCCTCATCAAGGGCTCTACGGTACACCCCTTCAAGGGTGCCCAAATCCCGACACACCTCCAAAGAATTACCATGTGCCGAATATCATCACAATCCAAAGATCCAAAACCATATACTTTAATAATAATAATAAAGAAGTATTAGCCCCCCCCCAAAGGGAGTTTCACTAAAACACCCAAAATGGGAGCTGAAATTATAAAAAAACCCAACACCCAAAACACTTTATAAACACACCCAAAACCCATCATTACACACATTCAAAACTCATTTATAAACACACCCAAAAAATATACAATTGTTGATTTTGGGGTTGATTTTGGGTGTGTTTCTATGTTTAAATAGTGTTTGAGGTTTTTTTATAAATACATGTCTAGAATTGGGTTTATTTATAAATTTGTAAAAAAAAAATCCCATATAGCCTTGTAAAAGCCAAGATTAACCAATATGAAATTTCATAACTTCAATAATCCAAGATATACCAATTTCCAACCCAAACACAATTATGCAAGCAATTTCATATTTGAAAAACAATGCACATTTTTAAACAAATGTCCACTCACAACAAGTCCAACGCTGCTCAACCCTGAAAGGGCTCTTCCTGTGAAGTATGCCAAAAATGAATACCTGGATCAACGATTTTGGTCGTTGGAAAAGTTTGAAGCCCTAGGTGCTTTCAGAGCTTGCCGTGGCTCAGGGAGAGGCTTGGCCTAGACGAGATTGATGGATCCTCACGGTCATTTCTCGATCAATGGCGAGGCCTGACATGGCTGAAGTAAGGAGATTGCCGACCAAGTGTGGCCAGCCTAGTTTTGGCGAAGGGAGAGAGATGCGAGGAAGAGAGAGAGAAAGTGACACACATTCCTTTAATAAATAAAAAAAATCTGTGTTTGCAATAATTACGATTTTGCCACTATACTTCCGTTGACCAAAACGTCTTCGTTTCTACTCTGATTTAGGCCCATTACGTGTCTACGAACTCGTGAGCTCGAGCACTACGCAATGAAACCAAGAAAATTTCCAAAACTATCCTCGAGCAAAAAGTCAACTCTAAACCACCAAAGAACCCTATGGTCAAAGTCGTCCTTTCAATTTTCAGACTTTTACGCGTTCGTTACAACTCGGAATTGAGCATGTCAGTTGTCTACAGAGTCGTATCGACGAGCTCTATGTAAAGATGCCGCTCAATTCTCCAAAATCTTTTTCGAACGAAAGGTGACTAAAGTGTTCCTACTCCCAAGGCAAGAATGTACTTGCACAATTAAATAATTAAATAAAAACAATTTGTTGGGTTGGGGTGCTACAGAAAAGGACTTTGGCTTGCAAACAAGTGGTCTTAGGTTCGAATCCCATAATATTTTGGTAGTGTGTGTATGTGAGAAACTCCATCCCCTTGTAGTTTAGGTTATCGTTTGTGTCTTTTTTTTATTTTTTAAAAAAGATTATAAAAAAAAACATGAAATAGTTAGTGTTGTGTGGTTCATGTATAAGAGTGGGTAAGTCATGATGGCTCCATACAGGCCCATACAACTCTAGTCTAAATTGAACTTTTGCAACTTACCCAATTGGGTACGCGATATACCCAATTCTAAGAATTCCACCAACTGGAGCAGTGCAATTCGACCTAATCTGCATTCTCGCCGTCTTTCGCAATGATCTCATTTGTAGTTTTTTTTTTTTTTTTTTTTTTCTTGGGTCAGTATGTGAGGAATAAAAGAAAAAGCAAATCAATCTCTTTGCTGTGTGTAGGTGGGTGTAGGTGGGGGCACCCTACACGTTACAACAGCACACCTACAATATGAGATCACAATGATGTGGTAAAGTATGAGCCCCTTCAATATTTTAATACTGAGAGATCAAGAGGACGTGACCAACTTGGTTTCTCTCATACTTTTATGAACACGTGACTACATACCTTTAGATTAGCCTAGAAACGTGTATGAACTGACTGCCAGCTGCTAAACTGAGCAGCTTCCTCCCGGCTTCCCCAAAATTTTGGAGAAGAAAAAAAGTGGAGAAGCCACTCAATCTGCCCGAGACTAAATATAGTAATTATGCCTTTCGAATAATATCCCATTGAGGGCCTCCACTCTTTGATTATTTGTTATATGCCCTTGACCTTTATGATTTGTATTCTCTTCCATGGATAACAAATAATTAGAAACTTCGTAGCTAATGTTAAAGGTAAGCTTTGTCTTAAATTTGAAACCTATCGGACAACAAATATTTGAGCAATAAATGGGTGGGAAACCAATCCTCATGTTAAAGACGAGTATGAACAAGTTTTTTTTGTGACAAAAAGAACGTATGAACAAGTTTTTAAGTTGATACTTCGTAGACATAAAAATATTTTAGATTACATGATACATTTGGTTTGCATATGATTTACTTGTATTTCAACTTAACTAATGAAAAAACGAGCTTATGATTGGACGTTCTGTAGCTCACTCCATTTGATTTTTTATTCATATTTTTCTCTTATAAAAGCTCACATCTTAGCCAAGAGCGGATTTGAGATTTTAAAGGTCTTATACCAAATGTGCGAACAAGAACATAAACTTGCAAATAATTTTATAAATGCTAAACCTATAGGCTATAGGCGGTTGGACTTTTGGCTAATTAACTATTGTAAATTATATTAAATATATGTATATTACTTCTTATTATGTATCTCCGAAGTTAATTGAAGATCTTATAAGTTATAACTAATGGGAGAATAAGTCTTATGGATTTGTATTAATTTTAACGAAAGAGTTTCTGAATCATTCTAATAAAGTTGGAAACATAGTAAAAGCATACGAAAACAGGGGAGTTTAGTAATATTGTCAAAACTGTGGCGCAATTTTCTAATTTAGTCATAGTAGGAATACTAAATAGTAAATACATAAAAAAAAATAAAACAACCGAAGATGGAGAATAACAAGCCAATTCTCTCGTTTGCTCGTTTGATCACTTCTCTGTCTTCCTCTAATCAGTCTGCTCTCATATTCCCATTGCCTTCATCAAAACAAAACCCAAATTCCGCAGAGAAAGCCCTTGCAATATCGTCCACAGACGATCAAACTATGGCAGCTTCTTCTGGTGAAAATTCAGTGGAGAGGTACCCTGTGTACACGCTTTGTGCTCTCTTTGATTTTTCTTGCAAACATTGCCTGAAATTTTGATATGGGTAGTTCTTATATTTCACAATTTGTTTCCTGTTGAATGGCATTCTCACAAATTGGAGAAGATGATTTATAGGAGTTTATGTTGCAATGACAGTGTCAAACTTTTGTTATATCATGTTGGGTTGTGTTTTCATTTTTGTTGAGGTTTGTTGTTGTGAAATGTGAATTGTAATGGATTTATTTTTTTTGTGTCAAGTTTCCTTTTCATTGTTTAAATTTGAAGTGGCATGTTGAACCAATTTCTATTCTCTCATGTATGAGGAATTAACTATGTGG